CTCGCGGCCACCTGTTCCTGCGCGTCGAGTTACCGCGGGCAGGGGGAGGTTGTGAGAGGGAGCAACCGGCACTGGAAATCCGGAGGAACCTGAAATAAAAAGCATTTTCACGAGGGGAGATTGAGAGTACTCGTCAGTTAGATACCTGCACGTTCTCGAAGTGGCAGGTTTTTGTTTTTCCTCCAGAAGACTTATGCAATCCTACCCCTGTGCGGAAGTGAAAGGGCCTGAACCTGTTGCCGAGCCGGGCTGTGGTTTTTCAATGTCCCTTGTACTGTCAAGTTTCACTGACCAGAGATGGACCTGAACGAGCTTCCGGGAAGCCACTCGGGGCTCGCTGAGAGCTGGTCGGCAACTGCCATGGTGGGGAGTGAGCAGAAGGAGGCCTTTGGCCGGACTAATGTAGGAGAGCAGGAGGATGGGCCTCAGGAGGACGCGAAAACCTACTACCGTGCTCCTATGGGAACAAGCTCCGTGAGGAAGCAGTTTAATGGACCAAAATCCAGCGGAACTGACTGCAGCAGCCAGGAGCCAAACAGCAGCTCAGCTGGGCGTTTCAGGAGGCAAAGCCGAGGTGACAGGTAACTCAACCACCGTTCCGCGGGGACCTGTGGTGCCTGCCATCCCAAGGGCTCCTCGCGCTTCCAGGAGACCCAGAGAGCTTACCGGAGTCCTGCACTGTAATGTTTGTCATGGTCTTGGGTGTAGATTAGATTGATGCTGCATGATTCCTCGTAAGCTGTCTAATTCTTAGATTGGCTGATCCAGATGCGTCATTGACCCTCTTGTAGCTTCTAAGTATACTTAATCTAAAGACTGTATTTAACAGTGGTACAGTACTACTTTAATAGTACTACTTCTTCAGAATACTCGAAAAATCAGTGCAGCACTTTAAATAAATGACATAGTTCAAAAGTATCGTTTATGTGATGTCAGACTCGCATGTAAAATGTACACGTTTTACTTCAACCTATTATGTGGTAAACTGATACTAAAGAATGGTGAATGGACAAAAAGCACTTCCTGTGAAGTGCTTTTCATCAGATGCTGACCGCAAAGTTAGAAGGACTTACATAAAGAATCAGAATCTCTGTGTGGTTTTAATACTAGCAAGGTCTAGATTAAAAAATCAGCTTACTGTTAGTTGCTAGTTTTGCTGAGGTGAACCTTTGAATTTTAGTCATTCATTCATAAACTGGGATCAAGAGGTTCAATGTTACTAGGTATAAATTTCACAGCATCTCAGCAAGCACATTGGTCATCATATGTCTTTGCCATTCAGTATCATGTTGGAACTGGAAAGGAAGAAGGTAGAGGAAAAGAGATTAAATGGCACAGAAGCGAGAAAGGTGCAAGAAAAAATATAACAGGCAAAATATAATGAGCAAGCATTGGGATTTTCCAGAGATTTTGTGAACTGGAGGTCAAGCCCATAAAGGGGCATTTCAGTGAGCAATTTTAATAGCACATCAGAAAAATAATTCCTTTACCACGAGTCCCCAGTAAAGTTTAACTTCTTTGTTTTTGTACAGCAAACAGCTGAATGGAAGCCAGTCGCACAGAGATATGATGATGATGATGATCCAAGAAATGAAAAGGTGTTTGCCTGAAGGAAAAAGGAGTTCCAGCAAGTCCAGTACTATCAGTGCTCTCAACTATGCCTTGCAGTGTGTGCAGCACGTCCAAGGTATGTGAAGAAGAAAATATGGGGGTATAGAAACTGTACAGGCATGTACAGTCTTGAATAGACATGTCTGGAAATAAATAACATTAAAGGGATACATTTACGTTATCCTGCAAAAAAAGAGTTTTTATATTTGACATCACATAATTTTTTCTGTTCAAATGCCTTACTGCTCATTCTCCTTTTTTTTTTTCTCTCTCTAGAGTCCAGTCCCTAGTAGGTGCTTACTAGTAACTTGTGGTGCATGTTGAAAGAAATGTATTGCTGTCACAGATTCAAAACTTGTTGGATAGTCTGTATCTTATGCTGCTGCTTTCCATACAGACTATGAAGTAGCTTAATTGTTCTTTTGTCATCACATTCTATCCTTTCCACTTCCTCCTGTTCTTTTCCTGTAACATAAGTGGATCACTCCAGGGGTATAATCAGTGTTCGTTTTTCCTTTTTCACTATGCAGACTTTCTCCATCTCACCTTGGACCTCACCAAAAGGATCATAAAAGTATGAAAAGTATGTAAGGATTATTTTCAAAATTGTCTCTGTGTTGACTTTATTGTGTTTGTTTTTGCTTTTCTCTTTTTTTTTTAATTAGCAAACAGTGAATTTTTCCAAGTTGCAAATGACCGAAGAATATTTCAGACAGATGTGATCACGTACAGCATAGAAGAGCTGGTGACAGTTGCATCTGAACACACTCCAAAAAACACAGTAAGAAATTCAGTCAAAGAGTTCACTACTCGTTGTCTCCTCTGTATTTAATTGCCTTGCATCTCTTTATAGAAATAGAGTGTTGTAAAATTTGAAAACCTTTAAATTGTAAACAAACAGGTCTTTCTATTGATTAAGGTAGATTGGGGCATGGCTTACATATGCTGGGTCAGGATACCCAACAGGAGTAAGTGAAGGAATACCTATATATATATATATATATATATATATATATATATGTATATTTCTTTTGTCAAAAGCAGCCTCTCTCAGAATCTTAGAGGTCTTCTGCAGTAATCTCCTGAGAGCATCTTAGCAGCATGTTTTCAAAGCTATTCAAATCTATAGATGCAAGGGTCTTGTCCTTAGTTTCTATTTGCACTCCTGGAATTTATTTATTTATTTATTGCAGTATGCCTCGTGCTTTCTGATTCTGTTTGAAAGAAAGAGCATTTAAGTAGTGCTTTAAAATTAAGTAGTGTCAGAAACCAAATCAGAAATCCTGCAAATACTTCTGTTTGAGAAGTTCTCATAATATTTTTGTGTGTGGTTTTTGTGTGTGTGTGAAATTGTGGTGAGTGCTTCTGGAACTTGGGGAGAAATCTTTGTGGAGTTATAAGCAGTCATTCTGAAAGGGGCATTTATCTTTGGCATCTGCGTCAGTTTGATATGTGATATTGTGGTCTTTGTAGCGTTTGTAGGTCATGAGTCTCCATGCTGCCAGTTTTCACATGCAGTTTTAATGGGGTACAAACTTAAGAATGTTTCTGGACTGCTCTCTCTTTCTTTTATCTTTTCAATATTGCTGCTATGTTTTGGGAGAGATTTGCCTTTAAAAATGTTTGCTTTCCAGGACACCTTTGTGGCTGTGTTTTCCTTGCATTCTGGGCGAATAGTGCATATTTCTGATCAGGCAGCATCCATTCTAAACTGTAAGAAGAAAATACTGGATTCTTCCCGGTTCGTAGAGCTGCTTCTCCCTCAGGATGTTAGTGTGTTCTACACACACACTGATCAGTCCCACTTGCCGCTTTGGAACATGGAAAGTCAAACAGGTGGGACTTGGCAATGATTGTAATTGCTTTATGTATCTTTCTGTCTTTGCAGAAGGAGGATAGAATGGTCATTCGTTTGAAATGCATATGCTAGCAATATATATAGGTCATACTTGTTCCTTTTTTTTCAGTTGAAAACTTGAGTAACTATGGCTAGGGTCTCCTAGCAGCTTAACTGTAATGAGGGGTAAAAAAGGCAGATGCTTCATTTTTATACAAATCACCTTACTCTTTCCAAATAAAAAGGAGGTAAGACTTTTTTTTTAATAAAATAAAGGAGATAGTTGTCAGGATAAAATGGTTTAACCTAGCTCTTACAGTTGCACTGTGTAGTCTACAGTCCACTTGTCAGCCTTCTGTAAACTTAGCCAGAAGGCAGCAGGTAGAAAGCAGAAAATTGAGCTTAAAGGCTAGCCTATATAAAGATGAGCCTTCAGTAGAAATATTGATGATACTGAATTGTCATGTCTATCTGGAAAAAAAAAATCTATTCTATTGCAATGCTGAATGTGAATAAGTGGTGGCTTTTGAGCCATGTGTTACTTGTGAGCAATTCAAGCGTAGCTCCCATTCCAAAGCTCTGTTCTTTTTTCCCCTGGCAGAGGTGCTGTTATAGCATCATTGCTAGAAGGTCAGAATTTGCTGCTACAGGAGGTGGTGGGCCATCAGAGGCTTCTGGTGCATGCCAGGCGTGCTAGAACTTTGGGAGCAGGTCCTATTCCTACCCAGCACAGCAGTGACACCCCTGTGGAGCTGCTCTTATCCTCTTGCTGTGAACTATTAGTTGACTTTTAACTGTATATAGCTTTCGGTATATGGCTCATAAAGTGAAGAATTTTAGCCTTTCCTGTTCTGTGGTGATGCACTGGGCATTTTCAATATCATGTTTCCCCTGAATTTGGTTCCAAGTCAGTCATTTCTCCAAAAGTAAATGGGCAGGGGAAGGGAGAAATATTGGAAGTGCGAGCAGACTGTTGAACAGACAGTTCAATAGCTAATATTGACTCGAAAGTGACGCTTCAGCCTTGCTCAGAAAGCTTGGAGAACATAGAGTTAAAAATCCTTATTTTTAAAGTGCTTCTTATAGGTATGATTTTTTTAGGCTATTAACTGATCATTTCAATGTATATTCTTCTTATTAGCTTCTCTGTATGAATATGCCCGGGTGAAATCCTTTTTCTGCAGAATCAGGCAAGTATACCACTGTAGTCTTATGCTGTTGAGGGCTGGGCACAAAGAACAAGATTGGGCAGAGTTCTTGCCTAAATATGGCACCAAGTATACAGAAGACAAAAAAATAACTACTTAACCTTAAGAACAGTAGTAGATCACATAAGTTGTTCTCATGAATACCTTTGGTCTGAGAAGTGGAAGAAAGTTTTTTTTTTTTTTTTTTTTTTTAAACTACTAGAGTAAAGGCATTCTAGAACAGCCTTTCTGTATGGATGTTGGTATTAAGGGGTATGAGATCAGTGTGTAGTGGTATTTTGCCCTGTGATTGTATGTTGCCAAGGGATTGTACTTAGGGTCTCAGAAGGTTCTTTCTGATCATCTGGTTCTGTGCATTCTGCATAGTTTCTTGCACTCTGCATATCTTTTCTGCAGTGGACTTTTGGCGTTGGAGTCTTGACACTGGGTGCATTAATCCTTTTTACTCTTCCTCAGGCCTGGTAAAGATCAAGAAACACATTGTTATCCCTTCCGAATCACCCCATATTTGGTCCGTGTGTGCACTTCTGCTCACGTGGATGCAGAGTCCTGTTGCCTAGCTTTGGCTGAGAAAATTCACTCTGGATATGAAGGCAAGTCAGGAATGTGCAGTAAGAAACAAGCCAATAATAAAAAGGCCCAGTATAAGAAAGTTAGCAGCTCTGCCGAGAATTTGTGCTCGAGTAGTCTCCCCGACGTGAGTTCTGGTTTATGTGTGCACACACGTGTATACAGTATAGATGAGTCTTCTTTCCTGGGTCCCAGTATTTGACCATTTCCCAGAATTTGTTCTGGGGAGGTGGGGGAGGCAGTAAGTGGGAAAAATCTTGTCATCTGGTAGCTTGTAATGTTTCTTTGTGTTACTAGCCACAAAGCAGTGAAAAATTCAGATACTCAGGAGCCCATAATATAGTATCATGAGCAAAAGTAACAGTTGGATTTTCTCTCTTAACAATGCATATTTTGTGTTTCAGTAATTCTATCTTTTTTTGACTAGCTCCTCGAATACCTATGGAAAAAAGAATCTTCACCACAACTCACACCCCAGGATGTGTTTTTCTGGAGATAGATGACAGGTGAGATTTAGGTCTTGTGAGCTGTGTGTGGAGAGGTAATAAAAAGTTCTGTGGTGCTGCCACTGGAGACACAAGTACAACAGATGAACTATGCAATTTGCACTAGTTAATTTAGTAAAGTTGTTCGTTACTAGTTTTCAGTAATTCTTTTTGTTGGTCTGTTCATTGAAAAAATATCAAGAATTCCATGGAAAAATCTCCGTTGTTAACAAAAAGTGTGAAACTAAACTGAGCTACAGTCAGGCTTTGTTATACAAGGTAATGGGGACCTGTGATAATCAGGACAGTGGAGAGAGACGTAATACAAAGCTTTGGGGGTCACAGTGCAGAGATACAACAGTACTGAACCACATCAAATTAATTTGGCCAGACTAAAACAGTCTCCTGAAAAAACACAGTAGTGTTCTTCCAACACACTTGGCACCAATCACATCAGGTTTCTTATTGATATTTTGCCTGTGACTCTTTCTTCATGATTCCCTTTCTTCTTCACAAAACTGCTGGTGACTATGAAAAAATCTTTTAAATCTCTAGGCTCAGAAATGTTTGTTGCCATCAGTATTTGTGTGTTTACATTGCACTGATGAATGGCCTAGGAAATCTTCTGTGGCCTTACATCATTTCATCGTAGGTCATATCTGTGAACTTAATTGCCAACCAAAGGGTTACGGATACTCAAGATGATATTGTAATCAATGATAATGTGCTTGTTTTTCAGAGCGGTGCCTCTGTTGGGTTACTTACCTCAAGATTTAATTGGAACATCCATACTGATGTATCTGCATCCAGAAGATCGTCCTTTGATGATTGCTGTTCACCGGAAAAGTAAGTACCGATGACTTACCACAAACTTCTATTGTTTTTAACATTTTTCCATTATCATATTGCTTGGCATGTGACTGATCTGCAGCCTAGAAACAATAAACTAAAACAGTGAGTTTGGGATCAAAGCAAATTCTAAATCAACTTTTTAAAGAACCCCACTCATTAGCATTTGTGTTTCCACTACTGTGTCACAATGTTAATTAAACGTTGTCTCTGTTTTTCTTCCTATTGTTCTTGGTTTTTGTTTGTTTGTTCAGTCCTGAAGTTTGCTGGCCATGCCCCTTTTGAACATTCACCTATTAGATTTTGTACTCAAAATGGGGATTATGTCATACTGGATACCAGCTGGTCTAGTTTCGTGAATCCATGGAGCAGGAAAGTAGTGTTCATCATTGGCCGACACAAAGTCCGAGCGTAAGCCAACTTTTTTTAAGCCTGCATATGCACGCACGGTAAATGTTCAAGAAAATGTCTAAACCAAATACAAAAAGTTGTTCCTTTTCAGTTCCCAAGAGATTCGGATATATAGCTCTCCCTCTTATCTGGTGGCTCTTATAGGAAATGTCCTCCGGGATGTATTTTGATTTGGAAAAAGGATCTTTCGTTCAAGATTTTCTGGGTTTTGAATTTGCCTTACAAGTGAAGGAGACAGTGGTAGATGTTTGTCAGCCTTTCTGGTGCCACTGTGCTGCTATACTAGCTTCCCTGAATCCTGGGGCTTCACATGAAGCACTGCTCTTGCATCGCAGTCCCGCTCCTCCAGCAGTGCTGTCTGCAGAGCAGATGTCTTCCCTTCGTGTGGATTCACGGAACCAAATCCCAGTGGAGAACATATTTGGAAATCAAACTATTTGTATTGTGGCTTTGCTGTCGAAATGAAGTGGTTTGATTCCATTTATTTTTGAGGAGGGTAATAGTGGCTATTTTCTAAGTCCTTATTTTCAAAAGAGCATTATATTATTAAGAAATGGGAGCTCAATCACTTCTGCCAGCAGCACTCCTAATTTATTATTTTATTAAAATATCAATCTGCATTTTAAAGCAGAAGAGTTGATCTTATTTTGTTCTAACTCTTCTAACTGTTTATAGTCACTTTTTCTTCATTAAATTAAAAATAATAATGAAATTTTGTTGACTTTCTGTAGAAGCCCTTTGAATGAAGATGTGTTTGCTGTGAGAAGTAAAGAAATGAGCAGTGTTGAGAAAGAGATACAAGAATTGCAAGGACAAATTTACAAACTTCTCCTGCAGGTAAAGAAGATGAAAGAATTTCCAAATACTGGTTGACCTTCGGAGTAGGAGGCCAAGGAAAGTGAGGCTTGATACAAACTACTAGTTAACAAATCTCTTGTAAAAAGTCTGGAGAAAAATTATTGGAAAATTGAAGGATAATTATCTTCAATTATAATTGGATATGGGTTTGTGTGTCAGCATTAAAAGTAAGATTCTGGTTAGTGCGCCTGATTAGAAAAATGACCTGAAGAAGTCTTTATGTTGAAGGATAAATTAGCATCCCAAAGCAGCTTTCGGTGTGGCAGAGAATGTTTCCCTCGAATGATGAAGCCCAAAATAATATCAACTTCTCACTAAATTTTCTTCGTTTATTTTAAGAGCTCTATGCATTGCAAGTATGTTACTCTGTTTCCCTTCTTTGTAGTCTCTGAAAGAATTAATTTTTATTTTTTTTTTCTCCCTCTTACAGCCAGTTCATAGCAATGTTTCTAGTGGTTATGGAAGCCTTGGTAGCAATGGCTCTTATGAACACTATATCAGCATAGCCTCTTCAAGTGACTCCGCTGGGAACTGTGCAGAAGAGATACAAGAACCAGTGAGTCTGTAAATGTGGCATTGCCTGCATCATAGAAAAAATATAGTATAAAAAATTAAAATTCTTACCGCGTTACATACATATTACTTGTGAATTTTACTGAAGTGGGAAAATATGCCTGTGTTCAAGCTAAATTTGCTTAAAATGGGCAGTTCCGTTTGTTTGTGGGTTTTCGTCTGTGTGTGTGTTAAATTGTCCTGTCTAAAATGAGGAAATAATTCTTACAGTGGTGCGCTAAGGTAAGTTGCTTAAATGTCAGCGCTCTCAAAAAGTGACTGGTCTTGGAGGGAAAAAAGTAGAAGCCCCATGCAACTAAAAAGAGTGATTGGTTCCTGTTGGGGAGACGTAGTATCTGTTCGATAGTGGGTTTTTTTTTTTTTTTACTATTGGTTTAAAAAGGAGACTAGATATGTATTGTAGAATTTTATCGGAGACAGTGGAAACAATCCTTTCTACCAATCTGTTCCCTTTCAATTTGGAGAATACAGGAACCCAAGTCTTAATGGTCTCTTAGGACCTCCTTTGTTTATTCTGACGTCACATTCTTGTGTATTTCAAGATGACATTGCAACAAGTATGTGCAGATGTCAACCGAATAAAGAGTCTGGGACAACAGCTGTATATTGCATCGCGGAGCAAGCCACAGAATGGAAATGAACAGGCTACAAATTCAGAAACGCTAGGAGGTGAGTTAGCGTGATGATAATCCTGAAGTTAATGTGAGCTCTCATAGATCGGTAGCTATGACTTTAGCCACTTGCTGTTATACCAAAGCTATTCAGTCTCTTAGCCAAGACGTGGCATTGGCAAGTGGTTTAAAAAATAATAAATAAGATGAATGCAGCAGATCTAATAACTTTTAACTGTTCGCTTAGGTATGGAGAAACATGTCTGTCCTTTTTTCTGTAAGTCAATACACTTTTTAAAAAAAACATATTTAAAACATTTTCTGTAGCGAATTTAAGTCTACTGTGGACACTTCCTTTATTTGCTTTTGTGAACATTGGTCTCAGAAATAGTCATAGCCCATAGATTGAAAAACATTGCTCCACTTACGACTGAAGTAGTGATTAAGTTACTGTATACTTAATAATGTGCCAGTACAGATAATTTCTGGTTTGTGCCTATCACAAACATACAGAGAAAAAAATAGATGCTTCCTCAAACACTGGAGGAATCTATACTAAAATATTTTGGAATTTTGGACTCTGATATTCTCTACCAAAGTTAGACTTCACTGCAGGTTTTGGTGATAACAAGACTGCACTGTGGATGTTGAGGCTTAAGGTTGAATTTACTGTGACCAAAATATCTATGCTATAAGAAGCTGTAAATTTCTGTTAAATGACAAGTCACTTTTTACCTTGACTTACAAATTGCATAGAGTGATTTAGTTTTGTTTAAAATTTGATGCAATTTGTAAGTCAAGGTAAAGAGTGATTTAGTTTTGTTTAAAATTTGCAGCTTTTGAAATGTTGTTGCATAAATCTAATTAGGAAAGATTTGATGCCTGAGTCTCCCAACACTTTTTCCTTGTTAATTTTATTCACCTCCTTCCTGTCAATGTCTTAAGTACAATTTATTTTCTATGATGTTTTCTTTGGCTTGGCCAGATTATTCTGAGTGGGTGTTGGGTGTTTACGATTAACTTTTCTGCTTTTTACATAAATGCATGGATTGGCATGAAAATGAGGATAATGAATAATTATTCTGCATAGTAGTTATGCAGCTGTGTAGCCACAGGCCATTTATCCCTGTACAAGTATCAGCAGGTAGTGCCTAGATTCTTTTGAGAGGTGTCTTTGAGGTTTTTTTCTTTTCCAGGGAAAAGGCACACTGCTTCCTGTTTCCTTCCGGCATTGAGAAGTGATAACACTGAAGAACCAGGCAATGCATTTTGTGATGATTCAAAGAAGAATCCACATGTTCCATTGTATCAGCAGATCAATTGTGTTGATAGTATCATCAGGTAGTATAAACTATGAAGTGATTTTAGTGATAAATTTGAGACTAGTTAGAGGAAGGTAGCTTTTTAAACAGATTGCATCCATCTAAACTGTCTGGGTTTTGAGTTGTGAGATAAATCTGGAATTGTTTGGAATGTTGCTGGTATAACAGATAGCAATAGGATCTTTATCACATTTCTCAAGAAAATGGTATACAACTGAAAAAAAAAACTTAGTACATTAATGAAAATGTTAGCTTTGTATTTTCCAATCAAGAGTTATATATGCCTGTATACAAACTAAAACACCACCTACAAAGGTGTTAAATGATTGAAACATACTGTACTTGATCATACAATACTTATGCATGATACTGCTGGATATTTAGAAGTATAAAGGAAAAAAGTCATTGTTAAAAGTCAAGGCAGAATCCAAATTCAGAAACTTCATTTGCTTTATTAGGTAACAGAAGCTTTTGGTACTGCAGTGAAGCTTATAAAGCTATGTGGTTCCTGAATTTTGTACTTTCCTTTTGAGGAAAGAGATTGCAGCTAAACTCTAATTTTGGTCTTGGGCAAGAATCATTTCAGTGGCCCTAGTATTTTGGAAGAACTAAAGAGTGTTTTTACTGTTAAATTTCTCCTGTTGAGTTTGAGGTATGTATGCCTTTCAAACAGAAAATGTAATTGTGTCAATAACAAAACAGGAGACAATTACAGAAAATGTAATTGTGTCAATAACAAAAAAAAGGGTTGTTCCCAACAACGGTGTATTTGAGGTAAGAAGCCAAGAAGCTTTAAAATGTCTAGGTCTATTTAACACTGAAGATAAGTATTCAATAAGTAACCATATATTACATGTCATCTTGGTTACTTAATCGGCATCAGTTTGAATTATGTGGCAGAGTAGTATTTGGGGCCTAAGATGCTGTTTGTACTACTGAGTTTGTCTACTGGTCGTTTCACCATTGACCAGTTTAAGAGAATTGTGATTGGCATAATACTTTGTCTCCTGGCATGTGCTTTGTGAACATCTGAACAAAATGGAAAGTTGACCCAATTTATAAACTGTTGGTGTTTTAACCTTGTATACAGTGCCTGGTTGTTTTTTACGTAATTGATTTTATTCGAATTGGTTTTATTTGAAGTACTCTTTGAAAGCAGCTGCATGTCCAGACCTTCTATAGTGAATTTAAATTACTATTTAAGGCATCTGGATTTTCATTTTGGGTTTTTTAGATGTCTTTCTCTACAAACTGAAAACAAACGCAGCAAGGAGAGCTGCTTGTGATATGCTTATATTTCAGATATCTAGAGAGCTGCAGTATTCCAGCTTTGAAAAGGAAATGTATATCTACAAACACATCATCATCATCATCTTCAGAAGGTAACAAGCGAGCCCAGCAAAGCCAGAATGAAATCAAGGGGTTGGAAGGTAAGATTAAGTATATTAACAATCATAATGGAAACATTTTGTTACCCCAGCATTTTTTTATATGCCATGTGTTCCAAGCTTTCAGTCTCTTTTTTAATCACTGAGTCACACTAACAGCAGAAATACTTTGGTTATAAGTGTGTTGTCTGCTTCTTTTGTCCAGGTCTTACGATCAAGCATAAGCTCCCATATGACTCAAGTCTTTGAACTCAGTTTGCATCAAAAGAACTCTTGTTTGTTATTCCTATATGAACTTTCTGTTGCTCATTAGTTTTATGTCATGTTTGGTGTGTGTTAACATTACTGTTGTATGGGATCTTTGCTCATTTGTCTACAAAACTTCCTTATTTAGCAGTCTGCATAGGAGTGGTTGTTTCTGAACCAGACAGACATGATGAATTTAGAAGTATTTGTAGTGCTTTGAATGAAATCCTTTGTAGAAATCTTGTCACTTAACAGCAGATACTGCCGTTTGTACTACTGAGTTTCTGCTGTTCTTTCATCAGTTAGTTCCCAGACTCCAATATCTGCTGACCTGGAAGAGACTCTCAAAGAGCAGGCAGCCACAGGCGTGATGGGAACCCCTCTGGTGGACCTGGCTCTGACTAACAAGGCTCCAAGTGTGGTGTCTGTCACCAGCCAGTGCAGTTACAGCAGCACGATAGTGCATGTTCCACACCCAGGATCAGGTACTGTTCATACATGCAAATGGTTAAGTGGGGCACATTGATGTTTACATTTAAAGATGTTTCCAGACTGAAATAGTGTGAAGGCTTTCTCCACTTCCTATATATTGTCATGAATATAAACCCTGAAGTATAATTAAACTATTTCTTCATTTTAATATAGAAAGGAGAATAAAAACATGATTATCTAACTGCTGTTGGGCTAAGAAAGTATGAAGAAAAAAGTGCTTTCATAACTTAAAATTATGTTTGAATTTTCCCTGACCATACAAAGTAATTTGCTTAGTTAATGGTGATGCAGCTGTGTTTGAGTGGAGAGAGTATTGCTGCTTCTGTTCAGTAGCTCAGACATGATTGTTTTCTGTAATGGGGCATCTAACATGGGAGTGCCAGAACAAAGCAGGAATTATTTCTTCTTTTCGCTCTCCTTAAAGAAGTGGCTACAATGGAGGATGCTGCTGTTGGAAGTGAACGCATTGAGCTGCCTTCTGTGAATACTCAGAGTCCCGTTATGGTTCCTGAGGAATTAAAGCCAGTCGGTCTAACCAAAGAGACATTGTCTGCCCACACTCAGAAGGAGGAGCAGGACTACGTTGACAAGTTCCGCCAGAAGATCTTGCTCTCTCCATTTAGGACTTATCTCCAACAGGGGAGCAGAAGTAACAATGGACATTCCTATGGTCAAGGTAGGCAGCACCTTTGTGAAATAAATTGCCGAACATGGGGGTCTAGTTCTCCTTTGTGTGATTTAGTGAGTATCTTACTGTGACTGCAGACTGAGTACTTCCTTAGAGCTGCCAAGACTTGACAACAGCATTGCTCACGCAGAAGGGTCTGCTCCATCTTGGATGTTGGTATCCTAGACTCAACACACAGCAGTTGATTATTGCAGTAAATTCTACAAGTCTTAAGTAGTTTAATGCCTCTGTTTTAAGGAATGTAAAAGATATGTTCAGGATAAGCCAAAATGATCAATAAGAGATTATGCGAAGGAAAATAACATGGACGTGTCAGCAAAGACATCACTGTGGAGAAGGAAAGAATTATCCAGCAGAAAGTCCGCTCTCTGAATAAGCTATACTCTCCCAATGATCTAGAAATACTTCTCTCTTTCTCTCTTTCTCTCTCGCTCTCTCTCTCCCCCCCCACCTTTCTCCTTCTCCTTCTCTCTTTTTTTTTTTCCTTCTTTTTTCCATAGGTCTGTCTTGTCAGTGAATGTGTCTAATTTTTCTTTCTCTTTAGGAGATTTCCCTTCAAAGCACATGAGCTCAGCTAGCTGTAAAAGAGGCAAACTCGGAAAATTCAAGCGCCAGAAACCTCGGAGACAGTCCTCAGATACCCATTCTTCTAATAAAAATAGAAAAAGTCTTCCATGTGAGAAGAGAACAGTTCAGAAACAGCCATTCTGTCCCTCAGAAATGTCCTATCTGAGCCTCTCCAGTACAAATACATTTCCTCCTATGGGATTTCCTGTCTATTCTGATCCATTAGTCAGCTTTCCAGCCTCTCCGATAGGAGAGCTTTCCCTTAACTCCCTAAAACCTGAGCCCAAGTCATCATCCCAGCTATGCTGCGAAGCACAGTCATTCCCAGCGTTTTCTGTCCCAAACACAGGAACGTTTATGGCTATATTTTTTCATAGTTTCCCCATGTATCCTCAGATGCCTCAGTCTGGCTTTCTTCCTACCCCTCAATATGCTTATCCCTCCTCTTCATATTCATGTACTACACAACATGCAGCTCCCCCTCCCTGTACTTCAGCAGCAGTAGCACTGAGGTCTGTACATCAGCCCTTTCCAGCCTCTCCTGCCTTGTCCACTGAAAGAGAACAAGAGGACCACTGGGATGGGGCCCCACTGTTCAGTAGCTCGCAGAGCAGCTCCCCACTTCAGCTGAATTTGCTTCAGGAAGAGCTGCCAAGACCTGTGGAGCTTCCTGTTAGAAATGATGCTAAAGCACACATGGAGGCAAAAAGTGTAAGTAACATATAGGTTTTCAGTGTAGAAAAGAAATGCCAATTTCCATGTTTGGTTGCCCGAAACAGTGATATGATCTGTGTTTCAGGATCACCAGAGGGTTTTGCAGGTTGTTTGTTTGCTAGCTTCCTTTTACCAGTGGGTATGCTCTGTCAACTGCAGGAGACATATACCGCAAGAGTTAAAGCTGTTTATATTTGAGCCCAGCGGAGCTTGTGGCAGTACAACGTTGGCACATAGTAAATGCCACAAATCTGAGATCTTTTGGTCTAGGCTCTTGTGAGCTTGCCTGCACTCAACATTTTGATATTGGGTGGGCTTTTCTGCATGTTGAACTTGGATAGGGCTGCACAATTGGCATCCTTTTTCACACAGTCTCACAGTATCTGTGGAGAACCACAACAAAGGGAAGGGTTTTTTTTTTTCTCTCTAATTACTCCCTCTGTCTCCCAGGGATACAGCTAATGAACGAAGAACAGGGATCCGTGTGGGTCGGTTTCCATACATGGGCATAGAAAAGGCCTCTCCAACTTCCGCGGTAAACTCAGAGACAGGAATCTGAGCTCTGCAGGCAAGGAAAAAATGTTGGCTCCTGAACCCAGATTGGGCTGGAAAGGCTGGATCAGCTGAAACTGCAGGGTAGGGTCCTGAGGGGGAGTGGTCTACCTATACCTGCTGAAGCTGTGAGCTTCACCTAGTAACTTGGGGAAGATTATTTCATTTTCCCTGTAGTGCACCGATGCTTGATGAGTGTGGTTGCTTCATGGCGTCCAACAGAATATGAAGGGAACTGACTCTCTTATCAGCAGACAATCTTGACTTAATGCGAAAGTACAATATTTTGAAAGAAACACAGTGGGGAAGATCTGCAGCAGAAAGCAGTAAAAAGAATCCAGAGCCAGGTTGACTATTCCCATGAAGAGTGTTATTCTGTGTTCTAGATGGCCATTCATTTTCAGAGCTAAAAATTCCAAAGCCATTGAACTGATCTGTAAGCTTAGTTGGCATATGACAAATTCGCTGAATGCATTAACTTCCTTTTTCAATCTAAAAGTAACTTCCATGGATGCGTTTGTTTTACCTCTGTTTCCAGGACAGTGATCCAGAAGCTAGTGCTAACAGTGGCAGCCTCTGTCCTGGTGAATTCGCTGACCTCTTACTGCACTGGTACTGGATCAGCAGCATCGGGCACTGGGTCAGCTGTATCTAGTTCTTTAGACTGTGATTCTAATAACGCTTCTGGTTGTGGTGCAGGTAAGGAAGTTTGAGTTTTGGATGCTTTGCTGCTAGCTGCCTTGTTAGTGTGTTAGTAGTTAATATTGAGATACTCTAATAGGAATGGGAAATCCCAGTAAGAGGCTCTGTAGTCTTTTGTCTTTGATGAACTTTCAGTGTTCGAAGCCAAGCGTGCTTCAGTGAATGTACTCAGAAACAGGAAGTTAGTAAGCTGTTCTTTTAACCTGTAAGTCACCCTTTTTCATTTTGCTTTTTAATGCATCTTTGCCTGCCCTAGGTACTAGCTTGCATCTTATTTGAGTGAGGTTAAGCAGGGCCTCCTGGAGCAGTAGCAGAGATGTTGAGCCAGTTAGTTTGAAGAAGAGCAAACCGTACTTGGGAGATCTGAGTTACTTCATAATTACACTTAATCTTTAAATTCTCAATAAGTTGTAATTGCTTGCCAGGGCAATCATTTGTGACTTACCTGTGTTCATATTATAGAACTAGCTGACAGGATCACGCTGGTGAATTTACTAGTTGTGCTGGACTTTTAGGATTTTTCGAGCATCTGATTTCATTTTTCATGGTAATTTCCAGCAGGTAGTGGGAAAATCAGCAAGTCCTTTGCCAGTAATGATTCTTCTGAAGCTTTCAACAAGAAGAAATATCAGGGAGCAGAAGAAAAAGGAACACATCATAAATCCAAATGTGAATCAGCGTGGTTGATGATGGATCACACATCTGAGCAAATTCTGATGACCTATCAAATGCCTAACAGGTTAGAAAACATAAACAGTTTCTAACATGGAGCTTGGAGTCCTAAGTATAGGCAAAGAACTATAGGAGACTTCTTACTACCTCCTTTTGATTTGAAATAGGATGCCTGCTCATAATTTATACCTGGGATTAATAATTCTACAGTAGCTATTATAAAGTTACTTTCTTGCAGTAAATAAAAAATGCTTTGTTTTTCTGTCACACTAATTGGAGAATGTTTGTGGAATGGCAAAATCACTTTTGTCTGTCTTCCCCTGCCTTTTTTTTTTTTTTTTTAAAAAAAAAAGAAGGAATTCTCTAGAAATTCTAGGCTTTAAAGCCAAAAATGTAACCCTCCTGATCCCATACAATATGAAAAACTGCATTATAATTTTTTCCAGTATCCCCTCAAAATAAGATACAATAGCTTATGTCAGATAAAATGAAAAAAGTGGTGTGTAAATATTTCAGTCAGCTTCAAAGATCATCACTTGTCTATAGGATGTTTTTAATGAGATTCATGAAAAAATAAGGTTCAGTAGTTGTCAGACAAGTGTTGAAAGAAGCCTTACAAGGTAAATAAGACATATGGCAAACTGTAGCTGCTTTTTCATGGCTAATGCTGCCTGGGCTTCAGTCTTAGAGAGGGGTGAAGGGCCACTCCAGATGTGAATGTATCGGTGCCTTGCTATGCTTAGTGCTGCTGCATTCTCAAGTGTCTGTTTGCAGAATTAAAGAGGAAGTTTTAAAGGAGGACCTGGAGAAGTTGATAGTCATGCAAAAGCAGCAGCCTTGGTTTACTGAGGGACAAAAGAAAGAACTGGCCGAGGTGCACTCATGGGTGCGGACCCAGACTGTCCCACAACAAATCAACACCCAGGTAAGGAGTCATGAAAGGAATTAGGTTATTTACGCCTTGGTTTATTTATGCCAGATGCAGTGTTGTTTCTAGAGCTGGGGTCACAGATGATTACTTTTAAGTGAACATAATAATGAAGTGAGCTTGGGGATGCTGGCCAGACAAGAAATATCAAAAAACAGCTATTTGCAGTGTATTTGTAAGATATGCAAGTCCTATGTAGGAGTCTCTTGGAGTAAAGTTATATCAGTCACGCTGTTGAGTGATTGGGGCGAGAATATGTATAGACAGAACTCTTACCTGTCTATATACAGCAGTGTGTTATTTGTTGGTGTTAGGTTTATTGCCCTTTTTTTGTAACGGTGATTTCTGAGAGGATTGAATAATAATCTACAGTGTGAAAAGTTAGTGAAGGTTAGAGCATGTGTGTTTGGTACATTGAAAGATACTCGTAATCACAGAGGAGTGTCAGGCAGAGATGAAGAAAAAGGTAGCAGGCTTTTACTAGTAACAATTCTGGAGTTTTATGCATGATTATTGTCTTTGTTTTATCAGGCATGATAAAATTTTTCTGATTTATATTAGTGTGTGTTCTCACAAACACTGAGGGTGTTTATCTCATGTTTTGAGCGTCCAAATAAATTTATAAAGCACATATAATCACAGGTGCGTTGGGAAAGAAAGGAGTAAGTTGAAACTAGCTCTATGGAGGCCTTGTGCTGCAGTAATGACTCATTACAGAAATCTTCAAAAGAAAGGAGTGGAATATTTTCATCTAGTTATGTGGCAGAAAAATCTAACATTTATTACAGCACAACATGCTCTGCACGCTCAATTTTTGAAATGTGATTTTTGAAATACAACAATGAAATGATTTTCGAAATACAACAGGCTTCTGAGAGCAGAAAGAAAACGCAGGACTTCTAATAACTCTTACTTTTTCTTATTAAGCCATTGCCAAAGAAAAAGAAAAATCTAGTCAGTCAATACTTTCAAATTTTTAGTGTCGTTTTGTTGATATTCAGGCTGCAAAACAAATTTTTGTTTACAATGCCTTAAGAGGATCTTGCTTAGACTAACTGATAGCCTTTCATATTAAAGGAAATCATGTACCTTTTCATATCAAAACTAAATATGTTCCATTAAGTAAAGGACTCGTTTCTGGGATAAGCTGAGTTGGAGGTGCAAGTACCTGCCTCTGAAAATAAGATATCTGCAGAATCTCTGCTCTTAAAGTGATTTCAGACAACTGTGAGTTTTAAGGAGACAATGTATTACATTTCTCCTTTTATGAGTGTAAGGGCATTTAAATGGTTATGTTCTTGTTGCTTTTTAAAGGGCTGTGTTACATGTGACATGAGGGAAATGAGTCATGAGGCTGCAATGGCTGATGACCATATGGACAAAAAGGGAAAATCACCTCCACTCTTGCAAAGCTGAAGACGTCAGCACCTGTATTGGTCAAACTGCCTGGTATAATTTCCACTCTCTTTTTCTCTGACTTTGCCACATACAAGCAGTGGATCTATCCAAATGTTTTTTTCCAAACATGAGCATGAGTGTGAAACTGTCTTCGTTACACCCCACACTCAACATTATTTGGAAGACACTGACTGGGAGGTTGTTTCTTTTCTTGACCTCAGAAATTTGACACAGAATGTGATGTGCTTGTAAGTATGTATTTTTCTCATCACTGAGTGATCAAAAGGTTTTTTTTTGTTTTTTTTTTTTGTTAACCTGTCAGGTAAGAGTATGAAAAGGTACACTTTAAGACCTATGTTCATTTAGTGCTAACAGATGAGAGTGCATTTATGCTTCAGGAAGATAAATGTGCTTAGTAGGATTGAATCCATATATCATGGAATACTCTTCATTGTTACTGTTTCTTCAACATTCAAAGGTCCAAGCTGAACATCTGAATACTCTGAGGCTCTAAAAATCTCGGTAGCTGCTTCTAAAGTGCAGTAGGCTGATTTATGAGCATCTGAAAATAGACTAAGTTATTTTGCAGCAAAATGCATTTTTCCAACTTGCGCCCCTCAAAAAAATAAACTCAAGTGAGTTTCCCTGTGTTTTATATTCCCTGTGTTCCCTGTGTTTTATATTAAGTCTATTCATACCTAATTGTTTCATGGCTTTTGCCTTTAAAAGCATGTCTCTCTGGAAAGGTTTTTAAAATTGAACTAATTGGTTTGCAAATCCATTTGAGCTTAAATGTTAATTTCGTCATTTTGTTTCTCCAATCCATAGTATTGATGCCAAAAAAAAAATGAACTTAATTTGTTCTGCTTTCTTGAGAAGTCACATATTATGGAGACATTGGAGACAATGACATAAAACTGCCTAAGAGTTTTGCTCTAAAACACTTAATAAGATGTTTTTTTTCCTTAAAAGATGTTTCTTTCCTTAACTAGGAAACTTCTTAATCAACTTTCTGTTGACTTAATTTGGACATTCCAAGCAAGGGTAGCAGTTGTCTTCAAAATAGTTGAGAAGTATAAGCTAGAAGGAAAGTTTGAAAAAAGAACTCTCTTACTGTACACTGTCTGCAATGCATGTTTGTTGAGGGGAGAAAATGAGATGGTTTATGGTGTCTTAGCAGTCATACATGTCATCCTGTTTATCGAAGAATAAGATTTGTTTCAAAATGGTAAGTACCTAATGCTTGAATTGTACTTTTCATTCACAGACCTGTAAGTATGTCAGAAAGATGAATAGGAATCGTTATCCCTGTTATATAAAATGAGGCAGATGCATAATGGGCTTGCATACCCCCAAATCATACCAAATGAACAGAATTCAGGTATATTCAGTCACCGTCTCCTGATCTCTTCGCTGCAGTTGTTCAGGACTCCGACATGTTCATAGAAACTTAATCATAGTAATCAACATAATCAACTAGGCCATGTTTATAGTTCTGTGAGCATTATACCCTGTGACTACAGGTAATGTTGACTCCTGCTTCTAGGAGTTTAAATTCCAAGATACTGGCTAAATCTCAGGTGCAAGATTCCTTGTCTGGGGCGACGCTAGCTGCGGCTTACAGAAGCAATTGTGTGTCAGAGGAATGAAGAGGTGAAATGATGCTCTCTGGGATTATGAAACTGAAATATATGCCCAAGAATGCACACATTCTTGAATGCAAACCCAGATTTAGGACAAAAACCTTCATCCCAAGCAGCTCCTTGTCCTACTAGAATCACAGCGTCTTGCAATCATATGCCTTATCAAACCTGCTGGACTTGTTAAAAACTCTGTTTCTATGGATTTGGGAATTGATATTTTATACTGGAGCTTATATTAATTTTCCAGTGTTCATAGTTTGCCAGAGTAGTTTTATGTGAGATTTAGTTCTGATCTGAAAGAAAAGTAAGTGCTGCAGCCGTGTTTGCGCAGTTCAGTTGAGCTTATAGGGCTCCGTTTTGCCTGCCGTGACAAAAATGTTGTAAATGGTTTGGAGCTCTTTAAGTAGTCATTTTTGTAATGTTCTAGAAGTAGCGATGTTGCTAGGGATCAAAGGGAAAATACCCAAGGACAGTAATGGTGCAGTTATTACCCCCTGTGGGGGTGTCAGCAGTTTGGAAATTCTTGGTGGGTTTAGCTAGCAACGTTTATTTCTGTTGTATTCATGAATGTATGTTTATTTAAAAAAAAAAAATGATGTGCAGATGCTTTCATGGCATTGCCGTGAACAGGAGGGACCCCAGTGTGTATCAGCAGCATGTGGTTTAAAAATTCTCTGAATAAGAAGTGTGTTGCTAAGCTTACTCCTCAGCTGAATTAAATTTCAAATTGCCATTTGAATGATTTTTTTACATCAGTTGGTAGGACTATTCTGTTGAAATAATTTTCAGCTGCGGTTGAATTTACAGTTTCAATTTTAACTGTATATTTTCAAGGAAGCTCTGTTTTTTTTTATAAATAAAACCAGATACAATATGTGAAGAACTGTTTGAAGTGTGTGTTTACTTTTGTTATTTGGTGATTTTTAGATTTTTAACAAAATACTTTTAAAAACTTCCAATTGTATCCAGGTGTTGAGGTAACAACACCTCAGTAAAAATGGTCACATAGTTGCCGTTCTTTCACATGCTCACAGGTTGAATTCAGAGGCCCTGCCCAAAAAAAGATGATGGTCAGCCTGGCTTGCAGGTCTCTGCCTTTCTTTGGAACCTTTCTTTGCCCTTCTGTGACAGCGCCAGCCTTCCAATCTCCGGCCTAAGGAAGAGAGGAAATATCTCAGAGGTGAAAATTGTCATGGGCTATTACAGCAGGATGGGAAAAGTAGGGTTTGCCCTTCTCTGTGAAGGGGTGGTCAGGTTCCCAGCTCTTTGGGCCCTGCGGGTAATTTTGTCTGTCATCTGCTGTGAGTGTTTGCTTCAGGAAGTAAGCAATTATGAATGCAACAGTGTCTTGAGCACAATCTTTGCCCTGATAGCTGCCTGACGTGGCCCAAAATCTAGTCCGAACTCTTTCCTACCAGAGGCAGGGACTGAATGACTGGTGAGAAGTTTCAGGGTCCACACAAATTCTGCTATGGGAAAGTTACCTGCATTTTCCCCAACTGCAGTGCTATAGCCTAATTCATGCACACTAACTTGTCTGTTTTGCTTCTTCAATAACTCTTGCAATAACTCTTGGCAACTCTTGGCATTTTGAGGTATTAAAAGCCAAGACTTTCATTTGTGGGTTTATATTTGGATCACATTTTGACTTCACCCTTGTTGCCTGAAGTCTCTCTTCATTCCTTTATTCTCTCATTTAGATGGATAAAGAATCTTTGACTATTTCTAATATGCTTTCAATTATTATTCATTGCTGTTGTATTTACAATGACAATGTTTGCTGTTGCTTTTTTCTTGCTAGATCTGATTTACAAGTAGGTTCAAAGCAATTTGTTCAGTCTTCATGGATTCTACACTTTCCTGTTTATGGAACTAATCTGTCTTAGCTGATTATTCATTTAGATAGATTTGGATTTTTTTTTCAGATGTTCTTGTTGACTGATGAGGTAGCAGAAAAGGAGAGATTTCTAGACAGACATTGACTTGCTGTACTGTTTAAGGAGAAGATGAATGTTCAGAAGGTTTCAAATGACTGCACAGTACATCCATCTGCTCCACATTTTTAAGGGTATTTTTCTTTCTTATATCTGGTTTTATGTGTCTGACAGTTTATGTGAAATGAACAAGCTGTATCGAGCCTGTAGTCTTTGTTCAAGCAGCAAGTCAGAGATTTATGATACATGTTGAGATGAATGTAACATATGCATCACTGTTAGATATGGTTTTAATTTGAGCTTTCTGTGAACCTTAATTAGTGTGCACAAAGCATATATTGAACAAGGAAGGGCTCTGCAGCTCAAACTACTTGTTCGTGTCATCCAGATTTCCATTTCTCAAAGACAGTTCCTGAACCTTTAACTGTGTTCATTGCAGATAGTGTCAGAAGATAGCTGGGTCTGAGGGAAGCGTGCTGGTTCTTAAGAGCACAAAGGAGTTGAACTAGAAGCCTTTTTGCAGGATCCCTTGAAATTATTTGGGCCCAAGTTCTCTGAAAAGCAATTCTTCCTTCTTCCTCATTAAGATAGAGCGTAGTTGGCTCAGGCACAAAGAGCTGAAGGTCAAATATTATTGCTGTTGAGTGCTCAGGCAGGGGCTAGCTTACCCTGATAGTACTCAGGCATCCAAGTACAATCTTCACATGGCTCTGTGTGCAGCCACACAAGTACTGGTCACAGGGATCTCCTGACGATAATCAGATACAATGCATAAAGCTTTTCTTACGCAGGGGCAATTCTGCTGTTTTAGGCAGCTGGGGACTAATCAAACTGCCCAAAGAAATACACTTGGTTAATCTTTCTTCGAGTGACCCAAACCATGAGAAACAATTGTCTTTCTCTGGAGGGCAGTGCTCATAGATGCTTGATCCTGACATTTGCATATTGTTTTCATGGTGCCTTGGAGATGGGAGAGGAGAAGAGGAACCGTTAAACTGCCATTCTCAGTGGCTCAGCATCACGGGAGAATGTGACAGTACTGGTACTTCAACTTCCTGGTACTTCAACTTAAATCAAGTGACCAGGAGGCAAAGAGGAGAGTACTCTCTGGACTTGGATGCAATTGAGGCATCACTCTTGGAAGTGTCACTCCATGGGAATCCTGCCTCTGCTGCCTGAGTCCTTTCCATAGAATCATAGAATCCTTAAGCTTGGAAGGGACCTGTAGAGATCATCTAGTCCAGCCCCCCTCGGGGGTCTTGACTGGGGGTCACCAACCCCCCTGGCGGGTCACCTAGAGCACGTGGCACAGGGCTGCGTCCAAGCAGGTCTTGAAGATCTCCAGAGAAGGAGACTCCACAACCTCTCTGGGCAGCCTGTTCCAGGGCTCTGGCACCCTCACTGTCAAAATTTTTCCTTAAGTTCCTGTGGAACTTTTGGTGCTTCAGTTTGCAGCCGTTTCCTCTTGTCCTATCGCTGGCCACCACTGAAAAGAGACCACCACCATTCTGCTCACTCCCTCCCTTAAGGTATTTATGGACACCGATCAGGTCCCCTCTCAGCCTTCTCTTCTTCAGGCTGAACGGGCACAGCTTTCTCAGCCTTAAATATGCAGCCTCCATCCTGCATATTTATATTTTTGTCAAAGAAAATACCATTGCACATAAAATATTTGCAAAACATTAAGAATTTATTAATTTTCAAGTAGCATGGAGTGTAAAGTTAGTTATTGTGTTTCATCATTCTCATTTTAAATCAAGCAAATCTATATACATGTTTTCAGGCATCTGTATAAATTAAGCAACCAAAGTCTGGAAGACTGTTCTCCTGGTTACACACAGTATTTCCAGAAGCACTCGGAGAGATTCCCACGTTTCTTGTACTGTTTCCTGTCCTTGGTCAACAAGCGGCCCAGCAAAGCAATTCGAGGGTGGCTTCCGTAGAAAATCTGAGGTCAAGCAACATTAGACAGGTTATTGTTGGGTGGTGAATGTGGCCCCTGAGTGCTCATGTGGGCCCATACACTGGCTGTAGAAGGAGAAACTTCCCGTTGCACACAACTGTTTAGATGATGTGCTAAAGCTAATCCAGCTCATCTGCCTCTGTGCTTGATTTAGCAGACCAGCAATTAAGAATAATGTGTCTGCATTTACCTAATGATGATCTATAACAAATCTGTTAATATTGTGTGGCCCATGTTGTAGTGGGGGAAAAAAAGACAAGGAGCAAAGACTGGCTGAGGCCTGCTGAAGCTGGAAATTGGCATTTATTTGAAGGCATTTTATTGGAGGGGGAAGGGGAGAGTACTTGGGATTTTTCAAATGAAATACTCTGCATTATATATTTTTTAACTACATATAGTTCTTACTAATTTTCTAGATATGATTTCTTGCTTAACTTATTGTTAGGTGATTCCAATTTCATGAACTCCATGTCACACTTTAATCTACACTATTTATGAAGTTTGTGGATCTTAAAGGATGTTCTGATAACACTTCTGTGTAGTTTAAAATATTGGCTCTTAATTTCTTATTGAAGTGATGGCTGGTCTTTTACTTACCTCTTTGATATCTTCTCCTGGGCTGTGGCTGCTGCGACTAAGGCCTGGGAGAGGGAGACGTAATGAAAGGTTTTGTCATTTAGAAATAGTGAACATACACCAGTCATGCATGTATACTATGATACTGTAACCCAGCAGAAGATTTCAACTGGAATATTGGGAGGACCACGTGAGAAGTGTTTTTGCCACAACACAACACAACCAACTCTTGCTCTTGCAAAAAGGTCTGGGACTCTGGGGCTGGAAACTGTACTGAATCTTCAACAGGCCTTTGTTACATCTGTGGCCCCAAAAAATCATTTACAAGTGAATGTCGGTGCTTTTTAAGGGGTAGGTTATACAGTATTTGTATTGCCTACTTACCTTCTTTTAGGTCAATCTTTGCCCCATCCCAATGGCTTCCATGTCTAAAGGAGAAGTCATCCTGACAGCAAAGGCTTATTCAATAAAACTTCCTCCCAAGATTCAGGCTCTCACCCACTATGAGGTAGGTGAGAGCACTATGAGCTTCCCCTTCCCTACCATTCAGTTTCTAAGGATGGTTCTGTTTTCCCTTTGTAGCTTGAAGCATCGTTGTTTAGACAGGTGTCATTGTGGATGACTTTGGTCACACCTTTTCATTTTTGTCCCAAGATGCTTCATATTTCAAGTGGGAAGATGTTTCTGTTTGAAACTGAAGAGGTTTTGTGTGGGTATATGAAGCCCCTCCAAGTTGTATGTGTCTATTGCATGTAGAGGTTCTATTAACCAACAAGGCAACTTTTCTGGCTGGTACTAAGCTGCAAACACAGCTCAGCATGTTTCCCAAAAGTTCTAGTTAACCAACAGCTGTGTTTTTCCTGCACATGATAGTGTATTCCCATAAATATCCTGGAGTTGGGACAGTACATGTGTGGATGCTGGGCATGCAGTTCATTACGTTGCTGCAGTAAAGCCTCACCTGCTTTGTTGTCTTCAGCTGGTGTGCCCAGGAGCTCTGCTAGGAACTGAAGCAGGGAAGTGCTCCCTGGGCTACCAGCCCTCTCCAGATTCAACCTGGAATCTTCATTGTCTGCATGTGGAAGACGATATAAACAGGCATATGGTAAGAACCTTTTGCTTTAAATTCTTTTTTTTTCCCCCATATAAAATGATTTCTGATTAGGTCTGTTGGCTGTATATGCTGAAAACTATCAGGAAATCACCAGTCACTCATCATTATTTAATGAATGTAAAGAGAGGGATATTTTTTTTTCTTCCAAAGCTTTGAATAAAGATACCTTCCTGATGTTAGTCTCCCCAGATTCTTGTTTATCTGGTAGACCTTTCTGTTAAGAGAAGCTTCATATTCAAGGTGTATTAATCTGCTCTATTTTCCAAGTATGCAATATGACAAGGAAAAAAATCAAATGCAGGAAAGCTTAAAATAGATTTTTGACAACCATGCTTCCTGGGGTATCTTTATCATCTGTCTTATTCAAAAGATATATCAGCACAGATATTATTACTGAAACAACAGATTGCTAATACCTGGTGGAATTAATTTCTATATGCATAGAGAAAGTAATTTATCATTCTGTGGCAAGCCCGTATTCTCAAGGCATGTTGCCAATAGAAGCCCTTACTTGTGTTCTGTGTGAGCTAACTAAAGTCTTTATAATCTGAGCTCTAAATTACATCTTTGCTAATAAATAGCAGACATCCCAAATAGTGAACAGTGAGAGGGAGCCATTAAGAAATTCTGATTGCATAGATTAGGATAATTTGCAGTTATATTTTCAGCTAATACTACAGAGTTTTAGCAGTCCTTACTTGTGAGACTGGATTAGACTGTGTGACAGGAATTACACAAGAAAAGATACTATTGAAAAAATAATTTTACATTGCTTCAGATACTTGTTCTGAAGACATCTTATAAACCTTGGACCTCAACTAATGTTACTTTCTCAGCGGAACAAAAGGACTGCTGAAAATGACAATGGGAATTTCACTGTAAGTCTGAGTAAGAAATAATGTAACTTCCATGTGCTTTGTAAAGACAATTCACATCTTCCTTTATACGTGTATTCTTTTTAACCCGAGACAGTGTTAGTGGACAACTTTGCTTTAAAATAAAATAAAAGTCTTCTGTATTGGAGAATCCTACTTCTGTCATATTGAGTGTAAGGACTCTCTTTATTAGCAAAGAAGATTCAATAACTCTAATGGATGCCTTCATACAAATGCATTATATATAAATGGTTAGAGACAGACTGTTTGCCCTATAATGTGACAGATATTACCAATAATGAGTCATAGCTACCGGTAAATGCAAGTTAAATAGTGGAAAGCTTGAGAAGATGCTGGCTTAGTGAGCACAAGATCCAAGAAGAAAACTAGGGACCGCTGATACCAGTAAACCTGTGCAACAAGTATTTCACCAGCAAAGCAAATTATCTGACCCCCTTTTCCCTTCTTGGCTTTGTAAGAGATTTTAGTTTTGGATTCACCTGTTCTTTCAGAACTCACTTCACAAAACTCTTGCAGCACATGTGATTTCTGATGATAATAGCCCTCTGGATTTCTGTGCTTTTTACAGAGCCATTTGAGTCTTGACTTTAAAGTATGATTTCAGACTTCGAGGACAGTAGAGATTTATTCTTTCACCCATTGAATGGAATCTGCATTAGTGTAAGCAAATAACAATCTCATTGCATAGCTGTTTTTGCAGCATAAGGCAGACCGGCCTATTCTTGATCTGTAAGTAGGATTGTATTAATTTTTGACATAGGTTTCTCCTTTTTTTAATGATAATTAAGCAAAATGTGGGTCCTTTTAAAGTGTAGCAAGAGCTAAGACTGTGCAGCCAAGTTTTCTTTAAATTGCCTTGTATCTATTAATGCTTCCTCAAAGACAAATATTCAGATGCATATTCAGTGCTGCAAAGCTCAGATACTTTGTATCCTGAATTTGAAAACAGCGACAGGAAATATTTAGGGTGTCCAACCTCCCCGTTCTATAATGCTAGCACAAACCAATAACAACACTTGTGCTGCTGGTGTTCTGAAGACGTACAGATTATGTTCTTCCTACAGCTGATCAACATAGATAAAAGTGCCTTCTGAAACAATATCTGCTTTTCCTCTGACTTTCTTCCCCCATTCCCTGCTAAGCTTTAGACCACTAAAAACAAAAAGACTTACCTGAGAGCTGGTAAGACATCTCACTGGTGTTGATGATGGGAACAGATAAGAGAGGACAGGAGAAGCTGATGATAATGAGACAGCAGAATACCAGCTTATGCATGGTTGCTGTGCTGAATATATTTTGTCTTTGTCAACCCAGAAACTCGGAACTTCTGTCTGACTGGTGCCTCTGCTCCCAGTTCCATCCATTATATAGCCGTTCATGACCTCATAAATATCATTATGTTCTCCCCCCCGCTTTCAAAAAAAAAAAGTGATGAATTTATTGCCCATTGATTCTAAATGGAAACTACTTTGCATTGATGTAATTTTTCAAGGTAACAGTTCATAGACAATAAATTTACTGTCTTATTGCTTGGTGTACAAAATGGATATTATATCAAACCCAGCACAGTAAAGTTTATAAATCTGGCATAAAAAAAAAAAAAAGTAACTTGCAGTTATAAATCATGAGTTAATGAAAGGGTCAGACATTGGTTGAAATGACCAGGGCACTAAGACAGCTGATATATGAGCCTTAGCAGGATTGACGCAAAGCATCTGATATGAAATGCACTTTTTTTTTCCTCTCCTTTTCGTGAGATGGATGGGTGTGTTGTTATGTTGCATTTGTGGTATTTGTGCCAGAAGAACTTAAAGGAGAGAAGGGAGTTAAAAATGTATAGTTAATTAACAACAAAAAAAAAAAGTTAGTGGACTTTTTTTTTCCTATCTCTCCTCTTTTTTTCTTTCTCTCTTGTAATTTTCCTTGTAGCATTTTACATCTATTTATTTGAGAAGGCCTCTTTCAATGTAGCCCTAGAGAATTGTCTTGGCAGAGGAAAGTACAGCTTCCATCTGGAGACTCGCTTGATGCATATAAACTGCTTTGATCAGTATTAAACGTGATCTCTCGCTGGACTGGAAGACCCTTCGCAGTTCCACTTGTCTACTGTCTTCTGTTTGCTTTTTGCTTTTATTTGGTGCTAACATCAAGACTACCACATATAATGTGTAATCTTATAACTTCCGTCTTTGTTTCCCCCCCTCCATGTTTTATGTATTAATTCCTTCTCTTTTCACCTCAAAGTGCAAGAACTTACTGGACTGGATGCGCATCTTCATTCTCTATGAAGCCTCACACTCAACTGTATCTACATAGTTTAAATTTTAAGAAATGCGTGTTTATGATATTTTCCTTTCCTTTAAGTGATGAAAAGGTGACTCATACTCAGGTTGGTGATAAATGGAAGTTCAGTAACTTTCTTCTCCACCTCTCTGAATCAAACTTTTTATGCACTCAAATGCTGTTCAAAATACTATGATACTCCCAATATTCTTTTCCTATTTTTAATAGCATGATAATTGTAAATTGCATTAGGAATGAGTTTATCTGCTTTCTTTTTTTTATTATAGAACATGATAGAATATGAAATTGTGAATAAAAAAGAAAATGTATAATGAAGATTATTTTTCATACTGTAAATTCTGCAGCTCCTAGAACTATTTTAAAATTAGCAGCATCAATAACAGTTTCATTTCCATTGCCTATCTAATTCAAAGGCAACAGGGTGGGTAGGTATGTGCACGCACATGTGCATACACACGTGTGGTCCCGAGGAGCTTTGGACTCTTCTTCCTCAGAGATATTTGAAACTCAGCTCCATCAGACCCTGAGCATCCTCATGTAACTTCAAGGTTGGCCCTACTTTGTTAGCAGGGGCGGGCAGAGACAACCGACCTCCAGAGGGCCTTCCAGCCTAAACTTTCCATCATCCTGGGAGGCCCAGGATTGACTCGGAACATATGCTGTAGGTGTCTGAACTATAAAACTCCTTTCTCTGATCTACTCTTTCCTGAAGTTGATGAATATGACAAAAGAACTTCTCTGAAGAATTAACCTAATATATTTTATGTGCTCCATTCCCTGTGCTTCTCTCTGAGAGAAGTAAGTAGCTAGAGAGGAATTCTCCCTTCTCATCTGAGTCATGCAACTCTTCATTCCAAAGCTGTGGATAGTAATTAGGTCTGATTTGATGCGTGATCTCACTGCTGGTGCTGTATACTTGGCACAAAACTTCTCCTTCAGGGTACTATCAATGACAATGGCATCATCAATATTTGCTCAGTGCATCCTCCAAGGAAAGCTAATGAAGCACCCTTCACAAGCAGCTTATGTCCTTTGTCTTCTCACGAGTAGGACTCAGCCTCTTAGAGCAATCATGAAGTGCGTCATGTAGAAGTTTGGCAGCATACCCACAGCTTATTGCCTTTACTCAGATTTGAAGTTGTCACTTAGTCTTTCCTCCACTGAAATGTCAAAGGCATTTTCCACAGGGGACAGTGCATACGTCATGAGGCAAAGCCAAGAAACAGCTCATCCTAAACAAAGGTTCAAATCTCTCAATTCATTGGGGAGAACGGTAAATGTGACTTGCACTTTGAAAACTTGAGAACTGATTTGAAAAAAAAAAAGTGTTTTTCCCTAAGATAATAGTTCTGATAAAATTTAAATCCTATCAATCCTAATAGAAGTTGTTTCAAGGAAGGTGCTTTAGTTTGAGATAGCAGGACAGACAGTAGTCTAGAGAGATTGATGAGCAAACTGCATAGTAGTTATACATTCATCTATCTTCAAAATTGTCTTTAATTATCAGAAGAAACACTGTTTTTTGTTTATAGTGATGACTCATAAAGAAAAAAATTGCAGATAAACCAGTGGAAGTTTATAACTTGAATTTACAAACTATCTAGCTTCTGTATTAAATAGGAAGGACAAAATCTGACCCATAATGCAAAATTTCTTTCCCCTCTTTTAAAGCAGTTTATGATAACTAAGCACAAGCTTAATATAATTCGCATCCAGGACTGTGGCTGTTGGTAAAAGAAGAAGCTACACAGAAGTCAGCTCATGATTTAATAGTAGTATATGTGTAAGGGACTTTTTGCTGGAACACAACTTTCTTAGTTTTAGTTTGCATAAAGCAATGTGAGTAGTAGAATATTTTTATATTGACAATGCAAGTTTAGATGAATACATTACATATACAACCAGTGTTTTCTTGAATTTTGCTAAACTTTCTGTCTCAGCATCTCATGTCAGTGAGTCCCTCAGAATGTTTAAACACATATACCTAGTAGCCAGTCTAAGAGGAAAAACTACCTGTAATCCCTTCAAGGGACTAGCCTGTTGTTGGGGGTGGTGTTGCCTATTGTTTTCCTTTTTTCCTCTCCTTGTTGACCTAGCAAAGTCTTCATTAATACCTAAGTTGTTAACTTTAACTTAAAATTTCTTGCTGTAGCTAATATTTAGCCTTGTAACATATGATTATTAAATCTATTCTCATATTAAAATAACTACCTTATGACATCATATATGCAATAAGTTGTCATGTCACCAGCTTGCATTGCTTTACATATATTGTGCATTTTAGAGTGGCAACTACAAACTTGAATTTTCCACTTCGTTACAATGACATCGCTGTGCAGAGGATAGCCTGTTGGGAGACCTGTGGATCAAAGGAAGACCCTAACTGTAACTTGGGCACTTGCAGTTAACTTCCTTTTTCCAAGATGCTCATTTTTCCTCCTGTGTGAGAAAGGTAATCTAGCATTTATGGTGTATATTCTTTATAACTTTATATCCCAAAGTAGTGCTATATGGTATATTTAATTACACACGGTAATGTGTCTATTTTGAATTTGTCTCAAAGTTATTCAAGATGTGAGTGATGAACTTAGGTTTTCCTCTTCTGTGGTGGGCTGAAGGGTGTGCATGTCTGCGTAACTGGATGCATATCTCTGTATAAATGAAAATGGTAAGACTCTAAGTCTGTCTAAAGATATTTTATTTTGCTAAGTAATTGGCAAGTCACCTAAAGCTTTTGGACTAGTGCACAATCACAGCTGCCAAAACACTGCTTCTTTGTAGTATAGTTTCCATTAGTTTGGCAGGAGGGGAACCCCTGAGTTTTTGGCCCTGCTGGGCTGGCACACTGTAGTCTAGGTATATTCTTCAAGTGAAGCTTGACAAGCTGGTCCTTAATTCTCCTGTCCATAAAGCCCTGCAGAATTAACAAATTAAGCCTAGGCACTGTCTAACATGAAAGAAAGTAAGCCTGGCATGTCTGGAACTGGAAATATAGCACATCAGTATCTTTTGGGAATCAGATTCCATGTAATGCAGCCACTAGCAGAGGAACAGAGACCAGATCTCAAAATAAGGTTTGTTCCTCAAAAAATGTCATGGAGCTCTGACTATGCAGTAAGGGTTTGTTTTTAAAGGTGAAAGTAGATGGTATAGGGGAAGAGGAACCCTTCCGCGGTAAAAAAAAAAAATGAAACTCCTTCCTTATTTTCTCCCTCTCTCCCAAAGTATCCCAAATAATTTGTTCAAGCCTAGTAAGAAATTGTGGTCTGGACAGCAGAAGAATAAAAATGCCTTTACCTCATCTTTCTAGTTAGCACTCCAGACAGACAGGAGTGCAGAGCAGGCTTGCTGAAAGGCATAGGCTGCAATCCAGCAACTGTCCGTATTTACACTCGCATTTCATCAGACCCAGGTGGGGAGCAAGCTGGAGATCTTGCTTTCTTTGGAGATGCATGTCTGTTTCTGTAGCACTGCTGCAATTGTAATCAGCAGAAGTTTCCAGTCTGGGCATCCTTGGTGCAGAGAAGTACAATGAGAGGCATTTTGTAGGCAAAGCACTGAATTATAGACACCTTCCTGTAACCCAGAGTAGTCCTAAACTAGCTGAGATTCTAGTCAGTGTGCTGAACTCTTTTTTTCCTGCTGTGGGAATGGGTGAATGGAAAGGACTAGTTTAGGTTAACATAATTTCCTCTTTGATTTTCTGAACAACACTGAATTTTCCTTAGATAGCTGCATTTAAAAAGCCAGTCATTGTGCCTTGGCCGGTAGTGTGTGTTTCTTTGGTGCAGACTGCATTTCAGAGAAAAGAAACATTCTCTCTTGCTCATGCTGGTTTTGTGTCTCAGCATCCCTCAGATTTAAGGGATTCATAATTAAATTATGAAGGTGGCCCCAGAAGGTGGCGCTGAGAAACTTGCTGAACAAACCTGGAGTGACCAGGGAGCAGATCTTAGGGAAGAGGGGAGGTC